ATGAAAATAATTTGTAGATTAGTGGTCGAAAGTAAAAGAAAATCATTTCTTGTAAAAAAATGTATTTACTAATGTTAACATAAATAATGCGAAACGCCTTACATGATAAGCGTTTAAATGTCACCTTTCACTACATATATTTCATACATATACACATAAATAACAATAATTTTTTATTTTGCATTGTAAACAATTTAATGCGCGTAGTAAAGAAACTGATGTCTTTGCTTTCCATAAAATTTCATGCGTTACAAAAAAAGTCGTCCGTTCGCCCTCGCTGCTCACACCGTATCTCCGGTTCCTTTGTAATCGAATGGTACCTTCCCTCGAAAAGATCACAGGAATGTGTCTGCCAACATCTTTAAACTTTTTGACAATCTCGCCAAATGGGAAATCATGACTTTTTCCAAGAATTTTAACCGACATTAATAGTCCTAAAAGGGTGCCTAAGTGCGAACTAGATATAAAAATCTATTTGATCAAATGTCCCACGGTACAATCTATGTTAGAAAGTTCTGATTAGCTAATTTAGTTACAACATTTATGAATATTTAATGGGTTCTATGTAAAAGGTGATTTTAAGTTCATTTTGTCTCGCCATTAAATATATCTCAACCCTAACCATGAAACCCTGGTTGATAAGTTCTATTTCTTCAAACTATAAAAAGCGTATAATAGAATATTTATATTCATCCCTGTTAACGACCAAATCTTACAGGTTAACTATGAACAACCACGTAACAATTTTTGATGTTGATGGCCGGTGTTGGTCTGCCAGTCGGTGAACACATGTTGAGGCGGCACTGGTCCGTCTACACTCGTAACATATGATAGTCAAACATCTGAGACAGTTTCTCACTGAAGATGGCACAAAACCGAAACGCGTATGAGTAACATTCAAAAACACGCGAATGTAGGCGAGCCCAATAAGCGACCCAGTGTCAGTTCAAAAATTATTGATGTGTTTTATTGCGCTTAGATGCCTACTGTAAAAAGTAAAAATATTTCACAGGATTTTTTTCTATTAATTTTGTACTCATCCATGGTAACAAGAAATCCCTATCTTTATTTAACCATAAAACCATGGTTGATATGTTCTTTGGTTTTTCGTTCATACTACTAAAAGTTTATACTTTAGATTTTTTGTAAATCATCCGTGGTTACAAGCAAATTTTTTTTATAAATTATCCACGGTAATAAAAAAAAATGATTGCTTGTCGTATTGCGTTTTCATTCACACTGCAAAAAGTTACCGCTTTACAATTTTTTGGTGTATTGTACTCCATGGTAATTACCAAATCATAGCTTCCATTTCAACTATGAAATATGGTCGAAATGTTCAATTGTGTTTTGATTGACGGAACATAAAAAAGTGTATATTTTTCTGATTGTATTAACTTATTTTGTGTCTGACTTTTTTCTACTCATGCATGGTAACAATCAAATAATTGTTTGTTAATAATCAATTGTTGTTTCACATTGTACAAAGGCCATAATGTAATGAAAAAATGGTTTGGTTGTAATAATTAAACGATATCTTCCATTTTAACCCTAAAGCGTCAACATTTTATTTCTTTCTTATACACAATATAATAATAATACATAGTTAAATAAATTAGTAGAAAAATTGTTTTCACATCTAATTCGACCGTCGGGGCTTTTATATTATATTATAAATAGTGTATATTATTTTATACACAATCCATAATCTTCTTTGGCTCTGGCCTGATTATTTGTTGACATGTTGACATAAGTCCCATGGGTCCGATGATTACAACAGTGCGCAAGTTTAAAAATGAAAACCTTTGTTTCCAACCGATCATCTTTTACTTTCTTTCGGCATAATTTTATATTATTACTGTAGTTGTTTACGGCGGAGCGGATAGCGGGACATGAGAGGTAAAAACTTAACGTTTTTCATTAAAAATTTCGTTAAATATTTCTAGATTTATAATATATATGAAATGTCTGAATGGTTTCGTCTCTTGGTTTTAAATGGCACAGGCCATGCTCCAATTGCTGCTCGACCAGGCTGACATCGATTTTCACTTTTCTTTCTTATTTCGAACTAAACTGGAAGACGTTCGTCCTCTGTTTTCACCTTTCAAGGTACATCGCAGATAGTACTCGTCACGAAAAAGATACAAGTGTTCTTCTGGACCGCCTATTCTCGCTCGGTTTGTTGTGTTGAAACTCTTTCTTCAAGGAATTACGTAAAATCTTTCTTTAAAAAAAATTATATGTTGACAGAAAGTTTAAAAAATTCCGCTGTTGTCTGCTAAATATAAGTAAACATTCCCATGACTATTTATAAAATATTTAAGAAACTCGGAAAGTCTACTACTTAAACTATGCAAGGTGACGCATACTTCACTGTTTCTAAAATATTTAAGATAGCTAACCCAAATTAAGTCAGCTTGTGTCCTGAATTTTATAATATTTTAGTCGATAACATTCGTTTGAAACAAAATTAGAGCATCTTTTACACTTCCTGCTCATAGCACTATCATTAAACTTAGAGGAAATCATATTGTTTACTAATTGAGACGTTTATTTATTTACTTTTACAACCGATTTTATTAAATGGAAGATCATTTGCCTTCAGTACATGGAATATCATGTTATCAAGCTCCAGTCTTGTCAAGTACTTTCATAGTCATTACATGTTAAAGAGTATGTACTAGATGAATTTCCAATTGCATTCAGAGCAAATCTAATTTTTGCATGTTAGATATTGTGCATGTTCAATATGTATATCATTCGGCTGTAGAAAATGGGCATCATCTCGTTTTCTATCTCCTGTACCTTTAGTATCTTCATACTCTAGGTAAGCTATCAAACCTATAGGAAATCACGTTGTTAAACATTGGATACATTTCTAATTTGATCTGCAAGTGCCAATTTCCATTTGTTCCTGCAGTTGACTTTTCTAGGTTGTTTGGTATATCATACAGCTTCACAAAATGGATTGTCATGTTGTTAAGAAGCTCCAGTTCTGTCTGTACCTTCATAATCCGAAGACGTAGAATAGTAAGTTATGTACTAGATACATCTATTCTAATTTCAGACCAACTTTAATTTTAGTACAGTCGTAGTTCAGTATGTATATATTCGGCTGTAAAAATGCGAAATCTCATTTCCCTACATCTCTATTTTAGTGTCTTCACAAAACGCCTATTTCAGTTTGTCAAACATACTCAAGTTTTTTCAGTACCTTCATAGTCAGAAGTCGTTCAATAAGTTATGTACTAGATATATTTCTAATTTCAGGCCAACTGTAATTTTAGTACAGAAGTAGTTCAGTATGTATATCATTCGGCTGTAAAAATGTGGCATCTCATTTTGTGTTGTTCTCAATTTGTGTTTGGTGTATCATACAGTTTCACATTTGGAATATCATGTCGTTTGAAACTCCAGTCCGTCATATCAGAAAACGTCAAGTACTGGTGCGTTTTTAATTTCAGACCAAATTTAATTTAGTACGTGTTAGAGGTTCAGTATATATGTTATCGATGAAGCAAGAATGATAGATAAACCTAGGTTTAACCGGTTAAAGTGGGGATTGCCAAGATTTTGCGGCTAAAGCCCAGAGTTTCCACCTCTAGCCGGCTAAAACCAGGTCTAACCTACCCTAGTCGGTTAAAACCCGAAGTTTCCAACGTTTTATTAGTTAGTATTGTATCATCCCCTACCTCTGTGTGCTTGTTTTATAACCTGTTGAAGAATTTATCTAAAAAATATTGATCTAAGTATGTTCAGATCAAGTTTCTATGAACAATTCAGTTCGGTTAAAGATGGAAGCGTCATACTACAGGTTAGCTATTAAACTGAGAGGAAATCACCCTGTTAAATATTAGATGTGTTATATTACCAAGCTCCCTCGGTTCTGTCTGTACCTTCTTAGTCACCTGACTAAAATTCAATTTTAGTACATGGTGTTTGTTGATAAAGTGAACCAACCTTTTTGCTAGACGCCTAGTATGTTAAGTGTGGATAATTTTTTATTTCTTGTACAGTAAAACTAATTTTACCCCATGCCTGAATTGTTTAGTATTACCGACAACAATGTAAACTGCAGTACTGTCAAAAGTAGAATATTAGCACAGAGAGGAAAGAAGGAAAATATGTTTAAACATCCTGTGCTGATTGATTAAAGATATAAGATGTGTTATGTCTTTAAATTTTAAACGTATTTCTAATTCCATACCATCAACATTGATGTTAACAGCAGAACGTGGCGACTTCAATGAACCATTAGAATTCGATGTGGGCTCTTATCAGTTTTCGACATTGTGTGTGCAACAATATGTATTATTTCTTTCAAAAGTTACATAATTTTCTTTTTCTTCAATTTTTTAATGGCGGTTAATGACAACGCCTGTTTCGCTTTCAAGGATAAAGGTCCGGTAGCATGTAACTAACCCTGGGGAACAACATTGTTCCCCAAACGAATAAAAGAGGGATGCACTGAATCGGTTACGGTTTGGCTCTTTACATTCACCTCGATAACACCGCCGGTCAGATTAATAAAGTACGTTCCCGTTTAAGCATAGCGCAAGCACGTTGTGTTGTGCTGGTGATAAAAAGGCAAATCTCTCAAGTTCTATCTGAAGGGTTTAGAATTTACGACAGCCTTAGATCCCAGCTCCCTCTCGATCCCTCTTGAACACAATCTTGAAATATTCCGTCATCCGACGCCGTCAGAATCAGGTTAAAATAGCATGTTTCGTTGCAATACGCTACAGGAATTCAACAGGAAATCCATGTCATGGATGACTTCATCCACTGACACGTTAAACTATAAAAAAGATCCAACTTTAGAATATCGTAGAGTAAACAATCACATCCGACCCAAAACCATTATTTCATTAAATGCAAATATTGTAATTAATTAATTTCTTAAAACATGGGATATCGTGTCTAATTTGTAGCACGAGAATTTCAATACCCATTTTAGCCTTTTCCGAGTTAATAAAATGTACTTTTGTTCTTTTTTCCAGACGAAATGCCGGTTCTGAAAGGTTCCACAGAGGACGATGAAATAGAGAGGTGAGACAGTTAACAAAAAAACTTTCATTTTTGCATATTTCGATCACTTTTATGCTACATGTTTGTTGCTGTTGTCAAATTTTTTAATTGACCTTTTCTTCTGAAATGTTGCAATATGTTTTTTAAACATTAGAAATCTTTCCCGTTCGTTTTGAAAATCTGTCTGACGATTCTTTAACGCCCACTAACGTCAATATTCAACTAAGTTTATCTTCCCTTTGAAACTCTAGTATGTGTTTTTTCATTTTTATTTATTTACTTTTTCCGAACAATGGTCCAAGAGAGTTTAGGCTCGGGCAAATATTTGCTATGCGACGTGGTAAATAATTTGCAAATGAATGGCGTATTTGTTCGATCACAAACATAGGCGAAACACATGTACCAAGTTACACCCAGGATCCTTGGAATGATCGATGCACAATTTTACGAATTTTTCACTTTATTCTACTATTTATTATTTTTATTTTACCTTATTAATGAGATACGTTACGACGCTTAATGTTTGTGTCTATATGTAATTTTGCAATAGATTTTTGATATTAGTTTATGCATTTGTGTTTTAACAAGTTTAGCATTCGTCATAACATTTACTCATTTCATGTGTTTAATTTGATATATATTTTTTATTTTTATTTCAACATTTTGCAAATATATTTAAAACTAATCCAAATACATTTAAACTTTGTTAATTTTAATCTCGTCTTTTCCATTTAATATTAGACTTTTTCCATTTTAATATCGATTTTTCCATTTATTATTAAACTTTTTCTATTTAATTTCGACATTTTCCATTTTAATTTTCGACTTTTTCATTTAATATTCGACTTTTGCGATTTTAATTTAAACTTGTCGTTTTAATGTGAATTTTTCAATTTAATATATGCTTTTTCCATTTTAATTTCGACTTTTTCTATTTTAATGTGAATTTTTTAATTTAATATATGACTTTTTCCATTGTAATTTCTTTTCCATTTACGTTTAAACCTTATTCATTTCATCCGTTTTCTATGTATTTGATCGGTTTTACAATTTATTTAAATTATTTGCTGTTTATTTTGAACCTTGAAAATTGAGTCAGAGCCTTGAGACAGTCAATAAAAATACAGTATAATAAAATATGAAATGGAATTAGAAAAAGTTTAATAACAAATGGAAAATTCCAACTACAAATGGAAAAGGTTTAAATGTATGCACACAGTTGGTACAATTTTAAATATCAAAACGTTGAAATAAAAGTAAAAGTGTTATATTACAAATAGCTCAAATTAATATATTTTTAATGTTTATGACTTTAATATTATTTTATGGATAGATAGGTTGAATAGTTTTGTCTTTATTTCAGTAAATACCGTAAAAACATTTTTATCATTCGTTTTAAATGCAAATCCCGCTTCGTGCTACTTAATGTATTTTCAAATATATCGGATTACGTGATAATATATCCCGATTCTTTTCATATTTTACATTTTCCCAGAAAGTGAAATTTGTTTTATGAAAAATTTCTGTAGTCCTGTCGCCATGGCTTAAAATTCAAGTTTACCAATTCACCCCTGACGTTAAGCGAATGTTCTTGGTTAAGATATGAGAATGCAAGTGTCCTTAATGATTTTCCAACTAGGTGTTAGATCTTTCTATAAAAGGTGCGCCTCTCGTTTCCTCTATTTACTCGAAAATAGTATTATTATTTTTTATTTGCATTCACGCTCTTTGTTCTTTTTGTTAACGTTAATATTTTTAAAAAGTGCAATAACTCTATCTACTGCAGGAGCTCTTCATCCCATCTCTCATTGGTGTTATGTTATATTTATGTTCAACAAGCAACAAATTGTGATTTATAAAGAGCCTGCAACAAACAGTCATACGAATCTGTCTGGTCTATCGGTAACGTTCTACTGTTACAAAAAAACCAATGGTTTAAATTTCCTTTTATTGTCCAGCTTTAAAACGAGCTTCTTTTTAATAGAAAGTTTAGCGAATTTCTTCGAAAAGTATTAATTAACCTCCTGTACTTCCTTTCCTCGTCGAAACCCGTTCCAAATAGACTCCGTTGTGTAACAGTCTTGTTGCCAGGAGAGTCGGGATCCTGCCCAAGGACGTGTGCACACGAGCTCGTCCTTCCGTCGTCCGACTCTCGCTGTTTTCGTTTCAACCAGTCAACAATCGCGGGATTGTTTTTATTTATTTGGTCAGAAAAAGCACGGCGATGTTTTATTCCTGGTTAATCCAGTTTCTTCCTGTTGGCCACTATTTCTAGATTTGCGCCGCACATACTGGTTTCTATCCCGTGACCTGGCAGCGTACCAAAACAAATAAAATTTTGCTCGAATGATTTCAAGTCGATCACCAATCAAAATTCTTGTTTTAACTATTTTTGAATTCAGTGATAAGCAGTATGAAGATAAAAACAAAGTGTATTCACTTTATACAACAAGTTCCATCAATATCTCCGTCAACCCCAAATATAAAAATTATAACATTTAAAATCTCATCTTCTCAGAAATGGTCGTAGGCTTTCTCACCATCACGCTTCATTCCACCATTATGACTTTCTCTTTGCATAAAACCGGAATATTCTAGGTGAAATGGAACATAGAAATTTTTTGTCGAGCCCAGAAACAATTCTTAAACGCCACAGAATTTTTAAGCTTTGTTTTGAAAACCAATGAAACGTTTATTTTCCAAAGTAGTTTTACTTAATAAGACCACAATGACACAAAGATATGATTTGGTCCTTTTTTTTAATTCAAAGCGATGCCTTTAATACATAAACAGTAATTAAAATTTTGTACGCAAAAAAAGTGAAAGTCTTAGTTTTTAATTTATTCTCATTATTATCGCTTGATAAGTTTTAATGTTTTTTCTTAAATTACCAATGTAGTAAATTATCAATGTAAGGAGTGGTATGTATCAATACCAAAAATTACCAATGAGTCAGCAATTATATATTGTCTGCGTTTTTATGCATATTTTCATTTTCCTAACGTTAAATATGTATAACCGATTAATAGGTTCTGAAGTAAAAATGAGACAAATGAAAGTAAATAAAGTATAAAATAAGGGTATCATGCGAGTTTTAGAAAAGTTCGTGCTTTTTAATTCACAATATCATTCATTTTTCATATTATTCATTGTTTAAGAATTAACAATAACAATAAATGAAGGTTCGCCACAGCGAAATGTCATTCAATGCCTATGTATATGCACATAAACCCACGCCCACAAAAAATGATTTATATATGGACGAAGGAACTGAGTGTTTTCTTTTTCAAATTGGCGTTATTCCATTATTTTGAATGTATTTAAAATTATACATATACATACGTTTAGAAATATTAAACACGAACTCTCTCTCTCTCTCTCTCTCTCTCTCTCTCTCTCTCTCTCTCTCTCCCTCTCCCTCTCCCTCTCCCTCTCCCTCTCCCTCTCTCTCACACACACACACACACACCCAAAATCTTTTTATTATTATTATGTGCAAGAAAATAAACGTGGATATTTCTTTTAACAAAAATCATACACAAACACCTCCAAACCCACCAAAAGTAATTAAGGAATTTTTTGTTATTCAACATATTTGATTAAAGAGAAGTAATCTTCATCTAAACTGCACATGAAAACAGTGGTGATTTCTTAAGTTTCTTATTTACCTTACCAACGAGTATTAAAAAAAAAGACAGCAAATAATTACAATCTCTCATATCATAGCACATGGCTGTTTAGATAACAGATAAGCGAAAGTAAAAAGAAAATACGCATTTAGGGCAACACGTTTGTTTATTGACGGGACAAAACAAAACTTTCTGTATTTATTAATTATCAGGAAATCTGAAAAATTGTGTAAACCTATTGTTTAAATATATTTTTAAAAAATCACTGATGCCCCCTCTAACCACATTACCCAGAAATTTAATAAGTCTTAATATTGGGTTGTCCGGAAAATAATGCAGGATTTTGGTATTAAACAAAAAAAAAGAAACTAGTTACTTTAAAGCAATGTTCTTTAATCAAAATAATTTCCCNCAAATGAGTAATCCTGTAAACGTAAACAGAATATTTTATATAGATTTTTTTTAATGAAAACTTAAAATCCTGCATTATTTTCCGGACAACCCGATAATTGTTAATTTAATAGTAAGTTACCCCCTTTGGCAGACACCCGTAGCTAAAAAAGAAAAGAGTACAGGCCGGAATATAAAAAGAAGGTGGTTGAACTGTTCTGGCACTCCCAATTCTCTAAATTGAATAGGCAGCAGTACATATAATTTTGTTCGGTTGCATCATTCCGAACCGCTTGAATCGGAGATGTTCACTACCCAGCGTATTTCGTTTTATGGATTGTGATTTATGCACCAGTCTTTAATGGGATCGTAAAAGTTATTTTTTATCATTTTTTATTGTTTATTACAAGAAATGTCAAGGTTTTTGTGAGTTATGTTCAAGAGACCTTGATTTTATCCGACTCTTGGCATTTTCGTATATAATATAGTTCGTCAAACTGATAAAGATTAATTTAGAACCTTTTTAAGGAATAATACGACATATCATTAAACTAAAAAATGCAGCGTAAAGCCCATTGTCAGTTTTCTCTACTTAAGTCACCTGACAATAGCCTGAGTAGCCAACCTTCGAAACAAGGTCGAATTTTTTTCTTTTATATACCCTCGTAAATGAATTAATTAATCACACTTTTAATCGAACACGCAGTAAGTTTCAGGCATTTTCCGAGTATAATTAAATGCTGTTCAATTCAACATAAGGGTTGAATAATTGCCTTCTTGTCGAGCAGACTCATTGGAAAGGTACATAACTGTAAAATAATAACTCTCCGCGTTTTTATCACACGCAGTGTCGTAATGTTAACCTCTGTTATCCGCAGACCTGCGTCTTCTTTCTCAGACGAAACGGTTCTTTTATTACGGAAAAAGGGATTACTCTTATTAACTGGGTGTGACTACATGAACCTAGGTTAATCTAAGGGAAACTAATTTTATTTCCCAATTTACTTTGATGATGATTGTTGATGGCAGATTGAAAGATAAAAATGTTACATGGAAAATAGATTTACCACTCTAAATAAAGAAGACGAGCTTTAACAGAAGAAAATAAATAATGCAAATATATAACGAATATTTGATATTTGTTCAAAGATAAAAAGAAGTCATAAATCAATTACAAAAAATCATTTGTTAAACAGTTGTATACACGTAACTGAGTTCATTTGGAGATTAAGGGGTGAGTTATTGAGTGAGAAAGAAATGAAGACAGACAGAGAGAGGGGGGTGGTAAAATATACAGACAGAGGGGGGAGGGAGAGAGAGAAATTCAGAGAGAAATACAGAGAGAGAGAGAGAATATGGAAGAGAGAAGAATGAGCACGCAGCCAAAAGATACATTAAAAAATATTGCCCTTGATATTTTATTGATACTTTTGGTTCTTTCAACATAAAATATAGTTTACTACTCCATAATGATTTCTATTTAAAGATATGTTGAACTTGAAAAACGCTATGTTAGAAATATGTTAACACTTCCTAGTCATTTTGTTTAAATAATCTAATAATTTAGAGCCTTTTAAGTTCTGATTCTCCTAACATTTAAACCATACATATTTGTGTTGTTAAGTAATTATTTCTTACGGTTTATTGTGCTATTGATCCTCAAGTTTTCTACTCGAACAACTAATCTAAAAGCAATTAGATTAGCCGTTATATTCGGTTCTTTAAAGCATTTACAAGAAGATGCGATACGTAAACGCGCTTATTTTTTCTCCGCATAACCAAAATCAAGCTTTATCGCCCAAGGTTTTCTTAAAATAAATTCAAGAACTTATAACTTCAGAGATAAGAAAATTTAGTTATTAACTTAAGTGAATACAGCGCTACTGTACTCAATACCCTGCTATCACTACTTACTCTCCTATCTCGAAGGAAGCTAACGGAACGTTTAAAAGCCCAACCTACTTTCAGCCTTTGGAATAGACTCTTGGAACATGAATTTTCCAGATTTCTCTTTAACATTCTTACACTTTGACATTATATTGTCTGAATAATATTTAACAAAAGAACCAGTTTCATTATTTAGCGTTCAGGCTGAACTTAAGGCTTTTAATTGGTTGTTTTCGGGCCTTTTCTTCTAGCATTATAATGAAGGCAGATCCAACTCGTTTTAACAGAATTGAAGTTTGTTTTTAATGTTTTTGTTAAATAATGTTTTGTTTAACTACAAGTAAGGTACTCGGAGCATTTTCATCACTTTCTCATTCCATGGTGTCTCTTTATCTCCCAAAGGAGAGCTGGTTTGCCCTTGTTCCTTCTATCAGTGAAAGATTTATGATTTTGACATGCAGACATCCGTTTTCTCATTATCGTTGATTATCAATCCGAAAGTCTGCCCATAAGTCCAACAACGAGATCAAATTATCTTTATTTTCTTTTGGGTTAGGGCAATCCTTGTTTAATGAGCAGTACGAGAAGCTATTTAGAATATTAGAGCAATTATTTTCCTCTACAGATTCATATAATCCCTGGGAATTATGTATGAATATGCTGATGGAGATTTCACTCAAATCCTCAAGTTGAAGAGGGTGATTAGTTTTATGCTTTATCGACAATTGGGCAATTTTGTTCAATTTCTAATTCTCAGTTGCTTAATGAATTTTTGGTTATGATTTTCCAAGTTTCAAGAGTTAAAGTTGGTGCAGGTTAGCCACGCCAGTTATTGCACATGCACTATTTCTTTGTTGTTTTGTTTAATTTATTTACTGCAATGTCTTTGTTTACCAAAAAGGAATGCCACTTAGGGTTTTATTTGTATTCTGTCTCTTTTTTTCTCTTCCTTTATGATCAAGGTAAAATTTTAAGTCGAATTGACCAGGTAGAGGTTTACGCTCATCGAAATTTTGTTTTATAATGGCACCACGGTTAAACGTCCCGTAACCGCAGGGCCCTGGATTCAACTTTTAGCCGTTTCGAAACATTTTCCGGTTCCGTAGTCATGACATCGAGTACCACGTGGAGTGTTGAAACGTGAAACAAGAATGAAATCGTGACGTGATTTTGAGATTAGCCCCGCTTTTTACCTATCCGCGGACTTATCTGAGATTTAGAGCGTTTTAGAGAAAAAGCGCGACGACCCCGGAAACGAACGGTCTAGCCATTAAGACGGCGATTTGCGATCGACAACTATTTATCATAGTTCACTATCGTTCGATTGAGGCCGCGAACAATTTATCTTGCAACGAGCTTAATCTTAAGCCTAACCCTTAAAAACCATTTTCGAAACTTACCGGAATTAAAGGTCTATCCAGGAATTGGTTATCCAAGAAAGCCTGCAAACAAATAGGAAAGTTAATTAGTCACATTGTATATAATAACTATATCTATAAATTAAAATATTCTATTTCAGAAAAGTAATTTAAAAAAAAAATTATGTTAATATCCTTATTTATTTTAAAAAGTATACGTTCGTACATTAGCTTCCTTTTAAGCTAACTTTTCGTCGTTTCTCTTCCATTTTACTTTACCAAAAATGTACATATAATTGTGAGTGAACACACTCATTAAAAAACCAAAGAATTTTAATGTAATAACTATACAAGTATGAAAAAGGAAAAGTATTAAAAATAAAATAATAAAGTAAATTTAAACGCAACTTTCAAATTTATTCAGTCTGGCTAAGAAAGGTTTTTTTTAAATTTAATAAATTAATCATTTTCTCAAATTTAGTTGAATCGTGTCCGTTTTTAACAAGTACAGTGTGAACTGAATAATAAAAATGTTGTGACATACACACTGGGAAACAATATTGCTTATAACTTATATCTCATTTAATTTAACTTTGAGAGTTCACAAGGCAAGGTGGCCCATCACTGGAAGGGCTCGGGTTCGAATCTCAGCGTCCCTGAATTCAAACACAGAATATTTAAGGTTTTTTCATAAAACTTAAGCACTCCGGGGGTTGATATCTCTTCTACAATACCCGTAAAAATCAATCTTTTTGCCGTTGTAGTTAATTATGCTTTAGTATTGAGTAATTGAGAAACCGTTTTAATGGATTTGGAGCTAGAAAACAAACATGTTATCAGATTAAATTGAACTTTCAATGTTTAATTGTTAAGCGTCAAGGGTTGTGTTAGACATGGGACTTCAAATCTGCCTTGGATTTCTCACGAAACTTGGTAAAGACTTTTTATTGAAGTTCTTAGGAAACAGTTTGACCCGTGTAAGAAAATTAATAGTTTCTTTTTGATTGTAGAAAAGAGACAAGCTAGTCATGACAAAGGTCTTTATATTGATTAAAGTTGAACTTGAAATTTTGATTGTTTAAAGCTTCATTTAACTTTGTTTATTTTTGTAACACGCTTGGAAAAACAAAATCCAATTTAAATACTTTCATTCATAAACTGTCTTACCGTTCTCCAGGACTGGCTCTGGAAAACATCCAAGCCTTGAAGAAAAATGCCCTTGACCAAATTACAAAATTCTAAATTAGACAAGGAACATATCGGCAAGTTTCCAACGTCGATTAGCAGTTTGACCAACGAAAAATTCGTTGTTTCTAAAAATGCATTCATGTAATGGCTAATTCCTTTTCTCTAGCACATAAATCCTAATTGCATAACCAAGATGGATCAAGGGAATGATTGTGCGTGAAGATTTATTTTGGCTTCGATACAGCTCGGTGAAGAAAGTTTTCCTAGTATTGTTACAGATTATATCATAAGAAGTCGGTTATACTGTTCTATTTTGCGTAACTCACCGCTGCTTGGCAGTATCTAACCTTGGTTCTATCTCCAGAAACTGACCCAGATCATCTCTAACGCGTCTATTCTAGCTGTTCGGCCAGGAATAGAGTTTATAGGTCACGGGGTGCGACAAACAGAGCGCTTAAATGCGTACCTTCCTTTAAAATAATTGGATGTCATTTGACGGAGCGATTTAAGAAAACTGATCTGTTACGTGGCCATAAACGAGAAATTTCAGCATGATCATAAAATGGCAGTACATTTGTTATCTTTTATTTTCTCAACCGTAGTACAACGAAATTATCATTATGCCTGTTATTCTTGGAGAAAATAATGTTTTAATGAACAAAGTTCGTGTAGCGTGATCGTCTCCGATCATTCGGTCCGCCTATTCTCGCTATCCTTCGAAGCATTCATCTTCAGAGGTCTTTAAAGCATGTTCAGACTGATGTCAAAATGTATGGATCGTGGTTATTTTACATGTTCTACTGAGTTTTTTTTTATCTCAAGCATATCTAATTTTACTTATTAAAAAAAGTTAATGTTTGTGCTTAACAAATTAATTAGTTATAACTTGGCGAGGCGAGATGTTTTCTTTTAACAAGATGCTAGGTTTATGCGCAAAATTATAAAAATTTAAAATATTATTTTGAGTGCATATCACAATTAAGTTACTTACTTGCATAAGTACCAATTGCACAAACCAAATCGCGAAAACTTTCTTCATCCAAAAACTGCACAAAGCTTTTTTATAAAATTTGGAATTATTTACACAGAAAACGGCTTTCAAATTTTTAGAAACCGAACTATTTACAACAAAATATAATAGAGAATCACGTGGCCGGGAGGTTATTTACGCTTACATACCAGTTTTGTCACAAGAAAAAAAATCCCTTTTTATTTTAAAAAAATTAAATAAATTACTGACTTCTATTCGTTAGGTGAAGTCGAAATCCAAGTGTATAATTTCTTTCAGTTGGGAGTGATAAATTGACTTCAATGGTGAAAGTTGAACAATAAAAACGTGATAGTCGTGATTTTGTTATGTTTAACCCCAATTATTCTCTATGAAAAGAATTGCACAAGAGAAATTTGGCGTTATTATGCTATGGACAGTCGATAAACGCATCGGTACATAGATTTCTTAAGTTTCCCCAGATCGACTACCAGTGTACCAAGGCCCATGATGTAACTTATTCGATAAGAGAACGGGCTGTTCGTGTGCAGGCATCAATCGATTAAGATGTTTAAAGGTTGTACCGTTACTTCTTAAGTGTAAGCTATGTGTTCATACGTTAAAATTTTATATGGTTCTGGTACTAGTATAGAAGTTGAAGAATTTGTTTCCTTATTATTTTTACATTTTAATTAGCTGCGCAGAGGAACGCAATATATAAACATTTCTCTTTTGACAGATAAAACGTAGATGTATGGACATTATATGTAGTGCGAATACAAAAAGATATCCAGAAATCCCCTAGGGAAAATGCGAATGAGCAGGCTGAGTAATTTGTCAGCTTAGTTTTATTTTTACAGTTTCATTTGGGATTTTTGTATTATTTACTGTTTTCTTTTTTGTTATAAAACGAAATAAATTTATCAGCTGTTAAATGCGCCTCAATTCCCGTCGTGACTAGGAATAGTTCTGCGAAGTTCTACATTTGTAGGTGTTATTTTTAACTCCTAGACAGAGAATCCACAGCTGTATCTGAGGAACATCTTGCGAATATTTATTTCATAAAATCCCTAGTTTTACTATTTTTAATTTAATTGTAATTTTTGAAGTGTCAAGTTCAAGCTTCCAAAATTTAGAGCACGAATATGTCGTATCTGTCACGTGAGGCCGCAACTCCTGTACTTTTGTTGAACTTGATTTGAACTGTTTTCTTTATATTTTTGTTGGTTTGGACCGTATTTCAAACGCGGAAGATTGTCCCAGAGGGTCAAGGTCCGGGTGTGACTGTTGAGCAGAGCAGAAGCTGCAGCTTTCTCGTTCTATCTCCCTCTTCTCTCTCTCTCTCTCTCTGTCACCCTTGTCACTCACTCTTTCTCTTTTTTCTCCCTCTCTCTTCACCTATATCTCCTATCTTTCTTTTTCTATCTATATATTTACCTATCTATCCGTATACCTATCATATCATCATCAGTCTATCTACCTATCTCCACTCTGTTGTCCTTCTCACTTTCTTTCTTTCTCTCTCTCTCTCTATCTCTCTTTGTTACTCTTCTCTCTCCTTCTCTCTCTCTCTCTCTCTCTCTCTCTCTCCTCTCCCCCCTCTCCCCCCTCTCCCCTTCTCCCTCCCGTTGCCTTTGTCTCTTTTTCTCGCACTCTGTCCTATTAGTTTATCCTATCTATATATTAATTTTTATACCTATTTTCTTTTTTGAAAGGTTGTTTGACAATTTATTTTTTAAAGATTATTTATAATTGCCATAAATTAATGTACTTATACTTTCCTCGGTTTCGAGCTAATTGAAATATATCGGATTATTGGAAAGATTGATTCACAAATTGTTATCCGGCGTAACTCAACAGCTTAGGCGTTACGTATGAAATGATGTAATTTCTGTCCTTTGTGCACTTTTTTAATACATGAATTGCAAACCATAAGACGAAACGAAAAAAAGGCAGCTTTTCTCTCTTGTGCCTAGTGACGTAACATGTTTCTATGTTCATGTAAAGCCTGGTTTGATACGCCGGATTGACGTCGCCCGCGATTCTCACCGAATTGGCGACGAAACAGGCCGCGTCCGCCTGCGACTGACCCAATTCCCATCTAAAAACGCGTAAAACACGTTTAAAAACAATCCAGGGGTCTGAACGGAAAACTAAAGAATAACCCATTGCTAAACCGTTTTTGTTTCTTTTCACGTGAAAGCCGTTTGGCATTTTGAACGCCCAAGGGCGTAGGAATTATTTATAAGCACGCATCCTAGTATTTTCGATAATGGTACTATCCTTATTATCATGTACACGGGCAATAAGAGAAACGGCGAAATCGTTCAAAAGGAGAAAAAACTATTTTTTGACGTAGTGTTTTTTTTTTTCATTTGGCCAATTTGTCATCAAGATTGAGTTATCTTCGACGTGTACTACATTTGGGTCATGTAAACCGATAATAGCGTCGCGAAGGAACACAAATAGTTTATTCTAAATATTCGGGTTATCTTTTAGTCGTTACGAATAAAGGGAATTTTAATATAAATTTTCCTCCTATTTCTCAATGTTGATTAGATAATAAAAAATGAAAACATTTGAAGTCTTAGCGTTGGGCTTAATAGTTTATAATGTATTTTAAGATTTTTTTTCTTTCTGTGTGACAAATGTTACGCTGAAAAGATACGCTTTGTTATGAACAATTATATTTATCCAGCCATGACTAGAGTATTATTCTTTTTCGTATTTATTTTGAAATAGCGTTAGAACAATTTAAATGTAATGTTAAAAGACAGAAAGGTCACACACACACACACACACACACACACACACACACACACACACACAACTTATTTTTCTCCTGACTTAATTTTAATGTTCGTGTCCGTCTATATTCTCCTTCCCCTTTCCTCTTCTCTCACTTCTCTCTCTTTCTCTGTCTGACTATAACTCTCTCTCTCTCTCTCTCTCTCTCTCTCTCTCTCTCTCTCTCTCTCTCTCATTCATTCACACACACACACACTTATTTTTCTCCTGACTTAATTTTAATGTTCGTGTCCGTCTATATTCTCCTTCCCCTTTCCTCTTCTCTCACTTCTCTCTCTTTCTCTCTCTCTCTCTCTCTCTCTCTCTCTCTCTCTCTCTCTCTCTCATTCGCACACACTTACTTATTTTTCTCTCCAACCTCTCTTAATTTTTCTGTTCGTATCCTTCTCCTTTCCTCTACTCTCACATATTCACTGACACACACACACACACACACCCTTACATACTACTATACTTCTACTTACTATATATGCACACACTATCACTCACCCAATTTCTTTCTTTTTTATATAAAAACAATTATACGGCCTTATTTCAAAATAACCTTGGAATAATTTATGCTTTATGCCACAATTCAAATGGATCAATTGTCTGTTGGAAATGCCATGTTATTTATTTATCCGCAGCCACTTGTGCACACTCAATTACACAATTTTTTTAAAAAATTTTGCTCGTTAAACTTTGTTTATTAAATGTCTGTACCTTGAGAATTTGTTATATGTTCAACAAATTCCTACTCTTACATTTTTCTTCTTTTTTCTGAAAATCTTCCAATAAATATGTATTGTGTACAAAGTTAAATAAGTATTTAATTATTTATGGCTTCATACGACCGATTTCTCGATGACCATTTTTTAAATAGATCTTGCAGGACTTAATTTGAATTTCATGTACAAGTTGGGCTTCGTTGTGACTTTGAAAAAAATGTGTTTCGTCGTCGAACTGAAAGTCTATACTTCTGCCCTGTCAGAATGCGGTTTTTCTCTTGAACGTAAACAGACTTTAAATTCGTCCCTCGTTGTTGGTTATTCAACCCAATTATAAACATGACTCTTACATTAGTAAGTTGTTGTTCTCTTTATCGTCTTGTAATAAGAAAAAGAGACAAACAGACAGGCAAACATATCACATTGACAACTGGGTGATGCGTGAGGTATCGTATTGGCTGTGCTATAAATTAAAAAGAATGAAGCCTGAGAACGAATTTAATAATTAGCGAATCCATGCGAACCTTAGAAACATTAGCAGTAGTTCAAATAGTCATTTTTTACCTCTTAAACACAAAGATCAATTTCCGTCCAGATACCAGGTTTTTGAAAATAGTGTTTTTTGGAAACGTCTAGCCGCTAATAATTAAAATTAAGAGTATACATATTTTAATATCGCCTTTTTTGTGTCTATTGTTGTCGGGTTTTGTCAATCGTTGAATTTTAATTAGGGAAATGTCGGACAATTATATGAATGTCAACAAACAAAGGGGGCACTAAGGAATTTGACAATTTGTTGGTAGTTGTTCTTAAAATTAAGTGTTTAATAGATACTAAAAATTAAACAGGTTTATACAATTATACCGCCAGAAAAAAACAGCTTTCTGTTTGATCATTTATCCCTTAGATAAAGTAAGAGGTCATTTAACTCGAGCGCCAGGTGGAGAGCTGTATACTTTGCCCATCTTTAATTGTTTCCTCAAAAATTACAGTTTTATTGTCATTTTATTAATAGATCGCGATAGGTTCATCGCTTTATTAGTTTTATACTATTTTCTAGTTGATTTTAAAGAGGAGAAAACACTTCTCATTTGTTAGACATCGAAACTCACTTTTGTCACGCTCACATGCGCTGCTTTGTTCTTTGTTTTTATCTCCCCCTTGTCTACTCGTTCATCACTTAGAACTTAAGCACTTTCCACTTTGATATCCAACGTCGTACTGTGCTTACCTTCCGCCGGCGGATCCCCTCCAACGCCCCACCAACCTAGAGCTACGCTGCAATTACGCCTGACGCCGAATTTCTCCATAACAAATTACGATTTGCCGACTGTTGACCTCTTTCCATCCAACTTAGTCTTCTTTCACTTTTTTACACCGTTTTCGATATTGGAACGCGAAACAATGAAATCTTCGTGCCTCTCCTTTCAGCGGAGGGGTAATAAAATGGTAAAATTTCACTTGACATATTTACAAAGATTTCAAACACTATGATCGCCAAACATTCCACGTTTAAAAAACGCGTTCAAAGAATTTATTGTTGTATTAACAGCTCTTTCATCAAAAAATGATTATCTATTCGTGTTGTTGGCCTGCTGGCAAACTCGTTTTAGAGCTGTCGCAGT